CACTCACCACGCTGTTCACCCACCACCACACTGCAGGTTACAACAACACAGCCACTCACTCACCCACTCACTCACCCACTCACCCATCCACTCACCACACTGTTCACAAAAACACAGCCACCCACTCACTCACCCATCCACTCACCACACTGTTCACCCACCACCACACTGCAGGGCATAACAACACAGCCACTCACTCAGCCACTCACCCACTCACCTACCCACTCACCCACTCACCCATCCACTCACCACACTGTTCACCCACCACCACACTGCAGGGCATAACAACACAGCCACTCACTCACCCACTCACCATCTCACCACACTGCAGGTCACAACAACACAGCCACTCACCCACCCACTCACCCACCCACTCACCTACCCACTCACCCACTCACCACACTGTCCACCCACCACCACACTGCAGGTCACAACAACACAGCCACTCACCCACCCACTCACCCACCCACTCACCTACCCACTCACCCACTCACCACACTGTCCACCCACCACCACACTGCAGGTCACAACAACACAGCCACTCACCCACCCACTCACCACGCTGCAGTTCACAACACATTCCCTTTCTGCTTCTCTCCTCGCACTGCTCCACTTTTGCAATTCCGCCCCATCGTGTCTCCTCCACAGGTCTCACAAGAGTCTTGCTGGAAGCCACCAAGCGCCGTTGCCTATTATTATTATGATTACCGATGGTGCCTTCAGCAGTCGCTGATTGTTGTTGGCCGCTTGGCATTTCTTTTGGGCCCCTGGGGCCTGCGCTCAGCAACCGTGACAAACAACAAAAAAACAAATACACGAGCTGTCATCGAGCACGTGAGCTGTCATGAGCGGAGCTCAGCCGGTCTGTGTCTGGGCGCGCCCTCGTGCTGAGCGAGCCGGGCCAGTGGAGGGTGTCGAGGTGGTTTTTGGGGTTGTCCCCGCGGCCGCGACGCGCGTCCTCTCGCAGCGGGCGCCGCGTAGCGGTCCACGTCACGCCGTCCCAGTCCGCACCGCCGGCGGTCGTCAAACGTACGAGTGTTGAACTTCTTTCGCGCCGTACGTCGCCAACCGTGCTAATCGGACGTTCTGGGGAAGGGGGGGTGGGGGGGATGGGGAAGAACAACAAAATAACCACAAAAAGTAGTTTTAATAAAATGTGTTTTCATTCAGCGGCGCTTGCGGGCGACGTCGCAGGGAAGCCTGGGCCACTTGATGCTGGCGGCTGTGAGAATGAATCCTCGCCGCGTCGGCGTTCCGGCCGCTCTGTGCCGTGCGGCTCGCCTGCCGCGGATTTTCGGGTCGTGCCGTGGGCCCGCTGGTTCACGCTAGGAGCTTCCCGTTTGCCGAACAACGCTCGAGGAAGCTCTGGAGAGATCCCTACTCTCCAGGGTGTTTTGGGCCTTTTTTTCCTTTGCTGGTCAGACATCTTGGAAGAGATGGGAGCATCCACGCTTTACCCCACCACGTGCGATCTGCCACTCATAGACCAACTCTGAGGAATCCGTTTATACTGCTGGATGGTGTATGGGGTCGGGGATGTAAGAAACTTGCAATCATAGTTTGAACTGCCGCAAACGAGAGACGGAATCGAACCGGCGACCTCGGTATCGCACACTCGGCGTGCCAACCATGACGCCGAGGCAGCTCCATGCCGAACAAGATGCGGCGCGGCGCGAATATGCAGCGGGAGAGAAGAGAGAGCGGGAGAGAGGGAGACGATGACGGATGGCGTCATCGCTCGCTGGTGATTCAGCATTGCGAGCGAGCGGATGACACCCACCCGCTCGCTCGCCCGAACTCCCACATTCGTCACCGTGCTCTCTCTCTCACACACGCCGCCCCCCCCCCCATCCACCTCTACGCGAGCCGCCTCTGCCTCAATGGACCTCGTCCGCTTAACATTCAGGCCCGGTGGCGCGCACTGTACGCGTCGCAGCGAGAGCTCGCCGAGAGAATGGGCTCGGGGAGATTGCCCGGGAAATTGTGCTCGTGATTGGGCTGCTGCGTTTGTGTCCAGTTTGTTCAGTCCTCGTCTCTCTCCCTTCTTGCCAAAGGGGGGGGGGGGGGGGGTTGTCTCTGATCGTATTTAATAGTCGTCGTCATCTCATCATCAGTCGTGCTCTGTCCACTGCTGGATCAAGGCCCCTCCCCCAGCCGCCACGATGTTACTATTCTGCGGTAGAGTGCCGCACGAGCTTGATTTCATCGCTCCGTCTCCGCGGAGGACAAGCTCTCGGACGCGTCCCGTTCCTTGGCTGCCACTCCGTCATTATTCTGGATTGTATGCCGTCAATCACTCCTGGCGACGAGCCCTGCCCAGGCATCCCGCTCAATTCTATGAACACTTTGAATGACGTCATTGACCTGTTGCGCGTGTTCTCAAACCGTTTGTTCCTCTTCCTGTCTCTCAGCGTCAATTCCAAGCGTGCGCCTCTCAATGACACTTCACTCGGTTGCAAAGTTCCTGGGTGAATTGTCACACCGCGCTCTGATCGTGGCCACCCGAGTTCAGTTCCCGGCCACGGCCAACATTTGTTGCGAGCGGCAACCGGACAGATCCTGCGCCCTCATCCTTCGCCAACCCACACCGATTTCATTCCCAGGGCTTCATTTCAACCGGGTCTTTGCGGATTGGGGACCTGACTGAAATATGTCTGCATCCGGCACGCCACATCCAGCAAACCTCTCGCTGTGGCTCTAGCTACAAGTCACATGCTTCCGAATCCAGGCAACTGCCAGCCAATCTGTAAGAACAAAAATCCACGGCAACTTTATTGCTGGTTGTAGGCAATGATTGTTGTTGTTGTTGTCAACCTGGAACTTCCCACTGCTGAGCAAAGGCCTCCCCCATTCTCTTCCATTACTCCTTTCCCCAAGTTGCCGCTGTCCAGCCGCGGCCTCCGAACTCTGAACTCTGTGATGTCGCCTCACTGCTGCTGCCGTCCCTTCCGCTCTCTTCCCTTCTCTCGGTCTCCATCTCTCATCAGTTGTTCTCGTGACATTACAATTCTGACTCGATTCCTTCTGCGTTAACAACAGCATCATCATCGGCGACCTGCTGTTGCTTTCCTTAATTCTTCATTCCTTCGCCCCGTCGCTTCGACTTACCTCCAACGTACCACTCCCCCAGAGATCTTTGGCAAACTTGTCGCGTAACCGACCGGGCCAACTACCGCGGGGCGGCAGTCATTTAATTGCACGCGTCACCGGCAAGCACAGGGTCTGGGGGGAGGGGGGCAACTGGAAACCACAACGACACGCCACGCCGTTTCGCCCGTCTCCCGAATCTCGCCGTGAATCCGCGGTGACGGCGAGCGGTCGGTCGTCAGGAAAGCGGCCGTGGGGAAAAGCAGCAAAACCTTGCGGACAAACTCCGCCGCAAAAATAAACCTCAGGCGCGCTCGCCGAGGACGGGAAATCGCCGCTTGCTCGTTCGGCGCCGCTCGGCAAACAGGACGTGATGTGTGGCCGTAATGTCAAGAGTCGTTCCGCCAACGGGCGAGCGGGCGAGCGGGCGGGCGGGCGGGCGACGGGTTTCCGCCCGCACCGCTGATGATGATGTTGCGTGTTTTGTGCAACTTCAAAGCGGAGCGTGAGCATGCGGGTTCGAAGAGGCTCGTGGGTTTGGGAAAGTAAACTAAAGGGAAGGGTGGCAGCCCTGCAATTTCACCCTCGCGCTGCTGTTGGCGGAAGGGTCTTCAGTCGCGGACGTTCTCGAGCACCCCTGTGGTGAGGGTATGTTTTTGGGCTGCCCTTTCACGCTGTTCAGACTTATTGCAAGAGGTGGGAGCTTCCCCACACTCCGTCCCACCACGCGTGACCTGCCGGTCGACTGACCGTGGGCGTAACCGTTTATACCGCCGGGGGGTTGAATCGAACGTGCGACCTCTGGAATGCAAGTCCAAGCGTGCTCACCGTTGCAGCACGATGGCATCCCTTGCCGTGGGAGCATTACAAACAAAAGCCTCAAAAGATAAAAATAATTTTCAGCAAAACTAAACGGCCGAGCCGTGGCAGAGGTGGCGGTGGGGGAGAGGATGGGGGAGGAAGACGATGGATGATGACGCTCGTTCACGTCCGCCAGGAATGCGCGTGCACGTGCCGTGGCTTGCGACGGCGGCTGGCGGTGGCGCGGTTTTACCGGGCACGCCATGGCAGGTGCGAATTCTTCGGCGCGACGCGTGGAGCTGGGGGTTGGGGAAGGGGGGGGGGGGGAGGCCGCCGCGTGACAGAGCGCCGCCATCGTTCCTGGATGAGAACTTCAGCAAAATAATAAAACGCGCTCTTGTGTTGTGACGCGCGATTTTCTCGGCACGGTGTCCCGACGGTTTGCTCCGCTTGCTGGGAGCAGCTTCAGGAAGTGAATTTTGAAGATGTCCGACGCTTTGTTCCGTTCGCCCGGGGGCTTTGCCAGACACTGAATCTCGTCGTGGCGATCAACGCACGCGGTTACAAGAGACCTACGGCACAATGTACAAAGTAAAAGCTACGTCACTGCACGCCTGTTTTCTATAAAAAATACTATACTAAGGGATTTGTATTTTACCAGGTAAGGCTCACTGAGCTACGTAGCTCTTTTTCAGAAGCGACCTGGCCATCACATATGATCGCTCAACGAAGTGGCTTTTCATCGTGTGGAAATTTATAGCGGTAGCCAAATGCTCTAAACATGTGACGTTGATTCTTAATGTGGAGGGAAAAACCGGAGCACCAGGAGGAAAATCCACACCACCCCGGGGAGAGAGAACATGCAAACTGCAAAATATACAGGCATCAGGGTTGCGATGAAACCCACGACCTCCTGTATACCAGGCGAGAGAAATAACACCTCCTAGCCACCGTGGCGGTATAAACAATTTGCGATGTGGGAGGCGTGCACCTGGTTTCGGAGTGGCGGGCACGCTGTGTTGCCTCCCGTCGACGTCGCCGCCACTCCGTGACGTGCGGCACGTTTCCGGGTTGACCAATTTCTTTCTCCCCCCCCCTCCCCCCACCTCCAGGCCAAAACTGACGACGGATCGGACACGGTGGGAGAGGGCCTCGCCAGGTCCTGTGCCAGCAACGCCAGCATGAGAGTGACAAACCTGAAAAAGTGAGCGCCCCACGTTGGTGTGAACATCCTCAGCACAGAATACGTCCGACCCAAAGTTCGATTTCCGCTCGCGGCCCACACCGGTGACGATTATCTGGTCCTGGGCCTCCCCTAGGTCGGCTCGGCCTGAAAACGAGTACCCGGTGCGGTGTGTAAACATAACCACTGGGAAGACAAAGGCGGCCGGGCGTGGTGCTGGCCACCCACCCACCCCCCCCCCCTCGTGCACCATGCCGGCCTTCATAGGTGCAACTTGCGAACAGAACTTTACCCTACCGTCCGTTAAGGCTATACCGTAGGGGGGTAGGGGAATCTTTGTCTTGGTAAGAAAATAAATTGGGCTTGGTAAGCACCCGGTGAACGTGATGCTTGGATGTGTATTTTTGTCATCGTCGTTGTTGTTGTTGCTGCTGCACGCGTTCATGAAATGCAAACTCTCAGAGGAGGCGCGCGGTCGGCGGCTGTGTCGTTTGTGAGCGAGTGACTGAGCGACGGCGCCGTTCTCTCTCCCCCCCCCTCCCCCCCCCTCCCCCCCACCAGGATCTCCGTCACCAAGGGCCACTTCCCCCGCCTGGCCGACTGCGCCCACTTTCACTACGACAACGTGGACTTCGACAGCATCCAGGTGCACGGCCGCCCCCATTGTCCCGTAGCGCCATCGTCACCAACATCATCAACAACAGCAGCAGCCATGATCAATCCACTGCTGAATGCCTCCCCCCATGCCGTCCCATGAGCTGATTTGAACCTCTGCGTGTCTGCGGTGTGCAATCCTCTTTGTCGGTCTCGACCGTCGGCTATTGTTTCTTCTGTCTAGCCTCTGTGCAAGTCTTTCTCTGTTTAGTATGTGTCTCCGTGCCCCTCGGCATGTCTCCCTCTGTGCATCTCTCTGTGTGTGGTTCTCTCTATCTCTGTGGCTCTCTTCTTATGTCTGTGTCTATGTATGGGCATGTGTCTCTGCGTGTTTCAGTGTATCCTCTGTGTATCTCTTTGTGCGAGTCTGTATATTTCTTCATCTATCTCCGTCTGTTTGTATCTCTTCTGTGCCTCTCCCTGTGTCTCTGTCTCTCGTGTCTGTGTCTCCGTGTGCCCTCTTGTCTCTTTCCCTGCTTTTGAGGCCCACACTCGGAGTTACCCGAAACCAGGAGCCTCAAACGACCTCCTCCCAGGGCCTATTCGCAGCCCAAGCTGAGCCGGCCTCTTAGCCCTCTAACAAACCACACATGTGTCTCGTACACACAAAATAAAATAATGTATTTGGTTTCGGCTACCATCACGCCCAATGTTACGTAAAATTGGCAACAAAATAAATTAATTTCACCCGTTTTCGCAACGATAAACTGATGTCTCCAGCAGTCATTTGACTAAGGCAATGAAGTGGGTACAGATGTTAAAATCGAAATTTAGCTGAACCTCTTCTGCACCGTACGTAGCCAACCGCGCTAATCGGAAGTGCGAGAAATTACCAGCATGGTTTGTGTTGCTTAGATGGCAAATGCATGCAAAAAACATATCCGTATAATAATAGTACGCTTTCAAAAAACAGACAGCTTTAGAGAAACGTATAAAACGAGAGCCTGGGAGGAGAAAGGAGAGAGAAAGTCCAACCATTCCCCCTCCCACCTCCCACACATTCCAACCCTCAGTTTCCTGAAAAGCGTCAAAAACCGGCCTTGTTCCGGGATATTCCCGAAACAGCTGTCACACCACGGCCCTCACCATCCGCCCCTCACCACCGCCCTTCCAACCCCATCTCACCAATGGCCTCTCATCACTCCCCTCTCACCACCGCCCTCTCACCACCGCCTTCTCTCTCTCCTTCCCAGCTGTGCCTAGCTGAGGACCACTCCGACTTTGGCAAGAATGGGACGGAGCCGAGGGCTGAGCCCAGCTTCCTTGTGCAGATTCACTGCCAGGTGAGGCCTCGCGACCCCGCGACCCCTCGTCCCCACGACCCCACGACCCCAGAACCCCACGACCCCGTGGCCGACCGCAACCCAGCGTTTCCGCCGCGCACGAGTAAAGCTCGTGCGCTCGACCACAGTGTTTGTGCCGAGTTGTGTTGTTGCGTTTTCGTTGTTGTGCGTCGTGTGTTGTGTGTTTTTGTGTTGAGCTTTGGCCGTTGCTCCACGCGGCGTGTTGACGAGAGGCAGCAGGCGGCCCCTCGCGATGCTGTAATTGTAACGCGCGCACAGAGGAAGTAGGAGGGAGTGCCGACACATCTGGAAGTGATTGCCTGTTTTCTGCCAGTTTTTATTTTTTACAATTATTTTTTCTTTATTTTTTTTCTTACCACTTTCTCCGTTCACCGGGCTCACTCGCTCACTGGCTCGGTCACACGCTTTCTTACGCACCGGTGTGCACACACTGCACGTACGTTTACATATGTTTACGTATGTACGTGCATACGTACGTACATACGCGCACTCGGTAGGCGATTACATCCTCCCCCCCCACGCTAACTTGCGCTCACCAGGGCAAACCGTTGCCGGCGACGGTCGATGCGAAGTCTCTTTAACTTACCGGCTGTGCCCGGATATTCTCGCGTGCTCATCGGCTCGCGCTTAAGAGCTGCGCGCTATCCGGACAAGCTCTTTCTTCACGCGCCGGTGTCGGACGATTCTTAAAAAAGAAACAAATCTAAACCGGCCGCCGACTTAACGGGCCGCAGGCGTCGCGGCGCCGGCGCGAGCTCCAGCTGCCCGAGCGAGCGACGGAATGCGACGCGACGTGGAAGGAATTTGGAGGAAATGTCTCGGCGCCCTGTGAAATGTTTCACCGCGGGAAACCCGCGGGGGTGACGCAGCGGCCGGGGAACGAGCGCGGCCTCACGAGGGACAGGTAAATCGGGCGAGGCGGCGATTGTGGCCGGAGGGGTCACTTAGCCTTGCGCATGACAGTGATGATGGTGATTACTATTATTATGATGATGTTGATGATCGTGATGGGGATCATCATTAGCCGTGATCTATCCGCTGCTGGAGGAAGGCCTTCTCAGGCCCTCGCCCAACTGTCACGGTCTTTTGCTGTACGCGGGACTCATTGCCGGTGAATGTCCTCAATTGAACGGCTCTGCAGCGAACTCGAGTAGTATACATTGTAAACATCGCATAAACATGGTAAACATAGCGAGAATATAGTACACAAGGTAAACATAGCATTAACATAGTAAACATAGCGTACACATAGTAAACACAGTAAACATAGTGTAAATATAGTAAACATAGCATACACATAGCGCAAACGTAGTAAATATAGCGCATAAGTAGTGAATGTAGTCAACGTAGTGTAAATATAGTAAACATAGCATGAACATAGTGCATCTCTGGTAGCCTTTGTGCTGTAAGAATGCCTCGATTACCAAATGTACTCGCTTACCTGCACATGCGCTAACCTCACCGCTCCATCTCTCTCCGATTGACGTCCTCTAAGGCCGTGTTTTCACTCCTTCGGCTGCTACTCCGTCGTTAGTCTCGCCCCACCGGCTGTCATCCAGTCGGGCGACGCGTCCGGCCCAAGCCGACCTTTAGCTTCTGTTCGCAGTCTGTGCCACGTCTCTACTTTACACGTGCTCTCTAATCCGCGCCTTCCTCTTCCGCTCTTCCCGTCTCTCGCCGTAATTCCAAGTGTTCTCTCGGCGACTCTTTGCGCATCTCTTCATGATCTTGTTCCGCTGACTTGGCGTTGACGATCCGATCGTAACTGTTGTGATCGTTCGCTCTCCCGGTGGGTTGTAGGTAACAAATCATGAACCTCCTCCTTAGTAGGAGGCCCCTCTGAATCACAGACGATTGTCCACAGGTTACATCTGCGCCACCATTCTGCGTAGGGTTGCGGAATAGCCACACTTGCGATTAAATAGCTGGAATGATTTTTGGATGAACCTGGCTTCCTCACGCATCCGAGGGTAAGTGACTCGATGCCCACGTGACTGCGAGCACGTCGGCAAGTCAACCGATTACTTCGGGAGGAGGCAATGAAATCAGACAACGCATTCTACATCTGTGCCACCATTCTGCGTAGGTAAACACGAAATAAATTAGTGGTTTTAAAGCCTAAATCATGTACATCTTGCGTTATTCTTGGTTTTGTTGTATCTGGGTTATCCCTCTCCCCCGTTGCCAGAGCTAATCGAGAGTTACGACCGTGGTGTCTAAGTAAGAGTGTGAGTCGCTAATCCCTCAATGGGCCTATCCAGGCCTCCAGGATAGGCTTTTCCGCATCGAGCGGTACATAATATACATATGTATTATTTGTGCATAACCACGAATACCGTATGTATTTTTTACTTATTTCGCATACCGTACGTAGCCGTAGCCATCCTTGGTAATCTGAGGTACGGATGATACATAAGCGTGTACGGTTATGGATTTTAGTTTGTACGGCGGTGGCTGTAACGTTCAGATTTTATTTCCCGTGTTGGCAAGGGAGAGAAAAGAGGGTTAAAACAAAAAAAAAATCCCTGCTGTTATTGCAATGATTCATCGAGCGTGCCTGCGACGCGGGAAGTGACGGCGTTTGTAAATCATACTCGCGGCGTGAATCACACGCGCGGCTTAAATCGCAATGCGAGAGAGAGGAAGAGAGAGAGGAGACGCCATGGTGGCTTGACGTTCCCTACGAGGGAGGGCCTTCACGGCTGGTGGCGGCTCGTAACTCCAACTTGAGGAGGCTCCAGAGAAGCCACCTGGTGGGGGGGAGGGGGGTAGAGTGTCAGGTGGTGGACGCGTGTGTAAATTATGATGGCAGTGGCTCGCATGTATGTGTGTGTGTGTGTGTTGAACTTCTTTCGCGCCGTACGTAGCCAACCGTGCTAATTGCAGGTGTGGGGGAAGGACAACAAACTAAACGCAAAAAGCAGCTGCAAAGAAATTCGTTTTCAATCGAGATTCATCATCTGCGCCTTCTCGCGTAGAGACCCATAGACTCGCATAGAGAGACACAGACTCACATAGAGACCCAAAGACTGAACCTGTTGCTCGCATTAAACTATACTTCTGTCACACCTGCTTCACTGCAGATGTGACAATAGTATTCAAACATCGGCCAAATTTGTAAGCCTTTGTTTATTCATAAATGCTGATTATTGACATTATTTTCCGAATATTAATTGAGTAGATCGTTGGCTTCCCTGCAAAGTTGGTGGCAGTAAATGTTTTTATTCCGTGTGGAGTATTGAACCTCTTGATGAAGACCCATGACATAAAGAAATGCCAGCAAAGTGCGGACTCATCTCATAGATCGCCCTCTGTATGGGATAGAGTGTTTCCCCCTTCATACGCGGGCGTTTTCTCCGGTTGCTCCGTTTTCCTTGCACGGATATGAACACTCAAATGATTTGCTGAAAACATCTTAGTATATAGAGGACCGCAGAGCTGGGGCAATTGTTAATAGCGCCCGCTCACGGGCCTGGCTGCTGCCGCTGCTGCCTTCCCATTTGTCTCTGGTCCCTCAGCGAATGTGAGAGATACAGTTTGCATGAATGACGACACTCTACAACACTAAACATGATTATTATTATTATTATAACATATCGTTACGTGTCACCCCCTCTCCCACCCCTTCCCCGCGCGCAGGGCAAGAGCTGGCTCGTGTGGCGAAGCTACGAGGATTTCCGCATCCTGGACAAGCACCTACACCTGTGCATCTACGACCGTCGCTACAGCCAGCTGCCCGAGCTGCTGCCATGCAGAGAGGGCAACCAGGAGGGCAGCGAGGTAAGCGCACCGCGCGTGGCGTCGCTTACGCCGCACAGCGACGACAGACGTCCCCCGTGCGGCCTCTGTGATGGGCTGTTGGGGGCGAGCCGAGCGCCGTTAGCGAGGGGCGCCTGTGAAGGCCGGCACGGCGCACGAGCGAGGGGGTGGTGTGGCCGGCAGAAATGGCCGCGTCCGCCTTGTCATCCCGTCAGCGATGATGTTTATTAAGCAACTGCACCGGACGCTGCTCGTGAACGGGTTACTCTCTAATATCACGGCTGCTGAGCATAGGGCCTCTAAAAAAAAAAGCCTCAAAACGTTAATCGGCCAGCTACGAACAGCGCTCTGAGAGTCATAACGGGTTTAGGTGCGTGATGCGTGAGTTGTTGAATAATGGTCGCGCGCTGGTGACTGTGCGCCGGTTTGCAGGCGGTGGCGCAGACGCTGTCGGAATACCTCACGCACCTCTCCTGCATCACCGACGACAGACTCAACTGCGGACCCGTCCTCACGTGGATGGAGGTGAGATCGTCGTCGAACGTCGTCGTCGTCTTTGTAAATGTCATAATCACCATCATCATCATAATTATCATCCAGCGGTGGATTTACACATGGTCGTACAAGTATACGTTTGTGCTCCATCACGGTGTCGGGAGGGGACGGTGGGCGTGAGCCGAGGTGAACTACAGTTGCATTCAGCGGAGGGAACGCGCCCAAGAGGGCGTCCACTGCGGAGATGGAGTGATTTGGTCGGCTTGTGTGCGCGCGGGAGATAGGGGGGGATTGTTGTAGCGGGTGACAGTCTGGCATCGCCAAGGCCACCCCCTTCACCCAGCAGTGGATTGATCATGGCTTGTGCTGATGATGATGCTGATGATGATATCACGTCACTCCTCGACTACGTGAACTGCGCTGACTGTCGGGCGTTAAAAGTTGTGCATTTCACTTTTTTTTCTGACAGCGTTGCGGTTGCCATGCAAATTGAGACCGTCTAATGTGTCGCGGAATTATTAAAAAATGATGTTCCAAACGTCACGTTACGCTCCAGTTGAAGTTATCCTACAAGAACGGAAAACGGGATTTAACAATTGCTGAGCGGGTATATGGTAGTTGGGTACAAACATTGTGGAATTGATTATGCATGGCTATGATTATGATTACGATGATGGTGGTGATGATAATGAGTACAATGATGATGATGACTACGATGACGACGATGATTCCAAAGATGATTATGCTAATGAATACAACGACGAAGACGATGATGACGACGGCGATGGTGATGGCGATGACGATGGCGATGACCACCGTACTGCGCTCCCGCTCGCTCCCACTCGCTCCCGCCAGGTGGACAATCACGGCCACCGGCTGCTGGTGAGCGAGGAGGCGTCCTTCAACGTGCCGGCGATCGCGGCGGCGCAGGTCGTCAGGCGCTACACCGCACAGGCGCCCGACGAGCTCTCCTTCGAGGTGAGTGCAGCGCCGGCGGTCGGCACGCAACGCCTACCAACAAATTCTTTCGTCCGAGCGATGACGCAGACTCGACTACCGCCAGATACACCCGTTCGAGTCAAGACGCAGGCTGAGATGATTTGGTAACGGGTTGTTAGAGACTGCAGTGGACTGCGGGAGACCAAAACTGGTCATTGGCTCTACTGTATATGTACGCTGTATACATTTTTTTTTTTAATACAGCGTAGCATCATCAGGCGGACAGCCAGTTGTAATTACCGGCGAAACGTCGTACTCGGATTATAAATGTTGTGGATTTGCTCTCCAACACACCGGTGTGCTGTACTAGTAACGAATTGGCATGTTCTGTTTACGTGACAAACTTTACTGTCTGTGTCGGGTGGTGTCGGATTTAACGACACATTTATATTATGCGATCTAACCCAAAAAAGAACTTATATCATGGATGATATTGGTCACTGAAAGCCTTGCGTGTGAAACTGGCGTGTAGTACATCACACGCACCCCCCACCCCACCCCGGGTCGCTCGCCGTGGCTGGCGTACGTGTGTTGCGTACGCCATTGTTTTGCGTCGCGCTGCGTGCAGTAACTGTACACGAGCCCCAGGGGTGTTGCCTGTGAGGCATGTTTGTCCTCGCGGACGCACGCGCCTGCCTGCCTGCGTGCGTGGAGGGCGTCGTTGCTCCGTCCGAGATTTTGTTTTCTCTCGGTCACGGACGCCGCCTTGAAGAGCAGTGAGTTCGTACGGAAAGAGCGATGGTAGAGCGGCGAAGCGGCGAGAGGTAATGAGGAGGAAGGAGCAACGGGGAGGAATGAAGAGTTTGTGTAGGCCCACAAGACTTACAGGCCCACAAGACCCACAGGCCCATAAGGCCTACAAGGCCAACAAGGACCACAGACCAACAGGCCCGCGAGGTCCAAAATGTCAAGCGACCAGCAACAACCAGTGTCATGGTGGGTATGACGGATAGGGGTTAACGCGCGTCTTACATTTAGCAAAGACATCAGGGCTTGGGAAAAGAGACGATGGGGAGGGAATCCCAAACCATCGGTCAATGCGAGGGAAGAAGGAGTAATAAGAAGAAGTGATGTGAGCTGCAGTTCTGTGGTTGCAGTATAGATAGAATTGGCCCAACAATCACATTCACCACCCTCCTGAAAGAAACGTCTTGAGACGTCGGTGCCGAGGCCTTGCTTTGTTCAAGCTCGCCGTCGTTGTCGGCGTCATGAGGTGAAGACTTTCTCGGTCGGAACTGTGGCAGCGGGCCAGTGTGACATCAGAGAACGGCCTCAGGAATGGACACGGCAGAACCGCGTCGCTTGAACGGCCTCTTCATCCCCACGTGGTGTGTAGGGCTCCCTCTAGTGGAGGCCCTCCCGCCAGCAGTGGCCGTGAGACGGCAATCGCAGGAAAGTGGTGGCGCCTTGACCTTTTTATTCGCTGTTCTCGACTCGGCCGATGCCTTTGTGTGGACGAGCGACAGAATTGAAATAATTTACTGCTCTCCGCGGTTCACGTCACCGACGGTGACGTCCGTCACGTGACCGCTAGTTATCAGAGTGAACTTGAACGTAGCGGCAGCTCTTACCTTGTTCTGTCGGAGGGAGCCGGGGCTCTAACACAGCGGCTTCTCAATCTTTTGTTGGCTGCCGTAACCCCCCTTGCTGAATTTTGTTTCAATCGAGGAACCCCCCCCCCCCGCCCCTTGCCTTGACCCAACATGGTTCTGAGAAATAAATGTACGAAAAAAGAATATCAATATTTTCATCAATTGTCCATTTTGCGAGGTATCCCGACGAGCGAGTAACTGCGAGCGAATAACGGGCGCCTTGCACGCGTGACGTAATTTGTTCGCACTCGGTGATTACTCTTGGAAACCGCATTGTGTACGATCCATGAGTTTAGGAAGGTCTTTTATATTGTTCTAGGTTAGCGTACTGATTTCAATGCTATCGTAGTTATTTTATAATGGCAGATTCATACGCGATTATTCACCAGTGACTCTCACGCATGATATAATTTCACGCGTTTATAAATCACCTGACGGTACCCCCTTGGGACATTGCCACGTACCCCCAAGGGGTCTTCGTACCCCCCGGTTGAGAACCACTGCTTTAACACAAGTACATATTGCATTGTATTTTGTTCCCCCGTGCCGGCCGTGGATATAATTAGCTTGGCAGCCCGCCTCTCACTTGGGCCGGGACGCCAGGAAGTCTCTTGCAGCTTTTGTCGGCGAATTTCCCCCTGCCGTGCTCATGACTGAGAGAGCACACGCACCACCACTACCGCCACCGCCGCCGGCACTTAACCTTTGTTTAGTTTAAAACAAAAACTATAAATCACCCCCCCCCCGCCCGCCCGCCCCCTCATCTACAGGACGGGCACTCCTGTTCACTTCGTCATGCCAAGCGGTGGGGCGACACAAGGCGGTTGCTCATTTTAGTGGCCCTCGGAGGGATGATGATTGATGGTGATAGCAGTAAAGATTGTGGTGGAGATGATGATGATGTGATTATTTTCTTGACTGTGGCAGGAGGTAGTGGTAGGTGGTGGTGTGTGATGGTTGTGGTGGTAGTGGTGGTTGTGGTGAAGATGTTGATAGAGATGATAATGATGGTGATTATTGTTATTGTGTTTGGTAGGAGGAGGCAGGCAGAAGTGGTGGTGATGGTGCTGGTGATAGTTGTGACTGGTGGTGGTCATGGTCGTTCTGATGGCGACGATAATTGTGATCAATTTAGTGACCATAGCAGGAAGTGGTGAGCAATAGTGATAGTGATGGCGGTCATGGCTATGGCGGTCGTGGTAGTGGCAGTTGATGGTGGTGGTGCTACTCGTGATGTTATTGATGATGCCTGTGGCCTTGGTGGTGGTATTTGTTGTAAGGATCAGGAGTGTAGTGTTTAACGCGGTGCGCTCAGAACCCGGTGGCCCAAGTTTGATTCCCACTCAAGGCCAACACCAGTGACAACTATCTGTAACCGGTTGCGGGGCCTCCCCGAGGTGGACTCAGCCTCCAATAAGTACCTGGTTCGGTGTGTAAACATCACCACCGGGGAGACAAAGGCGGCCAGGAGTAGTGTTGACAACCCAACTCCCTCATGTGACGTGCCGGCCTTCATAGGTGCTCGCTAACAGCACTTTCCCAACAGGCTGTTAAGGCTTCACGGGGGATCTTTGTCTTGGGTACAGGTCGTGGTGCTGTTGGTAATTGGTGATGACATTACGCGCATGACGTGTGACGTCACGAGATCACGTCGCATGTAACGACGTCGTCGGTAAGGAAGGCGCCGCGCTTACTCTTAACGCTGGTTTTGTGAATCCTTTTAACGCTGGTTTTGTGAATCCTTTTGGCACTGGTTTTGTGAATTCTTTTGGGGCTGGTTTTGTGAATTTTTTTGGCGCTGGTTTTGTGAATTCTTTTGGGGCTGGTTTTGTGAATTCTTTTGGCGCTGGTTTTGTGAATTTTTTTGGCACTGGTTTTGTGAATGCTTTTGGGGCTGGTTTTGTGAATCCTTTTGGCGCTGGTTTTGTGAATTCTTTTGGGGCTGGTTTTGTGAATTTTTTTGGCGCTCGTTTTGTGAATCCTTTTGGCGCTGGTTTTGTGAATTCTTTTGGGGCTGGTTTTGTGAATTATTTTGGCGCTGGTTTTGTCAATCCTTTTGGCGCTGGTTTTCACCTCGCAACTCTTAGGGGAAATATTTTTATAAAATTGGCCGATCTTCCATAGGGTGAGACCCCTAATACCTACGGAACATCATTCTAAAGAATCGTTCATATTGGATCATCCCTACGATAGTCATCGTGCCCTCCCCCCTCACGTTACAGATGGACGTAGGTAGAACGGAGCTAGGACGGAGCTAACGTGTCGTCACTCTCAACCACTCGTGTGGGCCCACGCTCAACTGAATTGATCGCGTCTGATCACCGCCTTGTCCCGCCTATGACCCTCGTGACCCCCTGTGACCCCATGTCTTCCTCCCTGACCGCCCCCCCGTGTCTATGTCAGGTCGGGAATTTCGTGTCGGTTCTGGACATGCCTCCCAAGGAGGACACGACGTGGTGGAGGGGAAAACACGACTTCCAGGTGCGACGATTGACGGCGCAACGCGGGACATTTGACGTGCGCGTATGTGTGTGTATATGAGCGTGTTTGTGCATTACTCTGTGTGCACGAAAGTGTAGCGCGGTTAGCATACCGCGCTACGAACACACCGACCCGAGTTCGATTCCCGCTCACGACCAATAAACCGTGACGATTTTCTGAACCGGTCCTGGGCTTCTCCGTGGTCGACTCAGCCTAAAATGAGCGCCCGGTGCAATGTGTAAACGTTGACACTAGGGAGACAAAGGCGGCCGGACGTGGTGCTGACCACTCAACCCCCATCTTGTGCCATGCCAGCCTTCATAGGTGCTCGCTAACAGCACTTGCCCCAAAAGTATATGAAAGGCTTAGATGGGGGGGATATTTGGCTTTGTATGCGAGTGCAGTGGTTGTGCACTACGCTACGAACCTAGCAACCTGGGTTCAACTCTCCGGCTCACGACCAATAACAGTGGCGAACATTTGAACTGATTCTCTGCCTCCCCTAGGTTGACTCGGCCTTAAATCAGTACCTGGTTGCTGTGTGTGAACTTCACTACTGTGGAGACAAAGGCGGCTGGGGTGTGGCGCCGGCCATACCTACCCCCACGTGCGCTGTGTTGGCCTTCGCAGCACTTTCCCGCAGCAGTCCGTTAAAAGAGATTGCACCTGGGGATATTTGTCTTTGTGTGCGCGTGTGTTCGCTTGTTTGCATGTATTGGTGTGTATTAAATGTGCGTACGTGTCAACGCGCACGTGTGCCGTGCCAGCCTTAGAAGTTACAATAACATTACTTACAATCTGTAAGGCAAAAGGGAGAGTGCCTTTGTGCGCCAGCGTGTCAGCAGGTCTGTGCAAATGTGGTGTTTGGCACATTTTTCTTGCTATCAGATGGAGCTGTCATACTGTGTGTGCGTATGCATACGGCCGTTTACTGTTCATCGGCGCCCGTGTGTATGTGTTTTGTGTGCGTGTGTGTGTATGTGTGTTTCTCTATGCGTGGGAAGCGGCAGTGTAGCGGTTAGCGCCGCTGCGCTACGAAGCCGGGGACCAGAGTTCGATTCCTGCTCACGGCCAACAACAGTTACGATTATCTGAACCGGTCCAAATGAGTTCCTGGTGCAGTGTGCAAACATCGCGACTAGGGAGACAAAGGCGGCCGAGCGTGGTGCTGGCCACCCACCCCCTAGTGTGCTGTGCCGGCCTTCATAGGTGCTCTCTGACAGCACTTGCCCCAATAGTCTGTTTAGGCTATACGGGTGATCTTTGCCTTGAGTATGTGAACGAGCGTGCACGTGTGTGTACGTGTGTGCGTGCGTGTGTGTGTGTGTATGCGCGTGTGTGTGCGTCTGTGTGTGCGTGCGTGTGTGTGCGTCTGTGTGTGCGTGCGTATGTGTGTGTGTGCGTATGTGTGTGTGGGTTTTTGTTTATTATGCCGACCCGCATGGGCGCCTTGTTTTTGCGCCCAATCTGATTGGCTGCCCGCATCCCCCATCATCTCCCGTCTCATCTCCTGTCTCACCGTTGCTTTTCATCCGCAGGTCGGATTCTTCCCCAGCAGCTGCGTTGAGATTATCAACGGCAGGGTCCCACAGTCGGCCACGGCGTGCGGACATCCCACCAGGGCAGGTACAACGCGCTCCCCCCCCCCCCCCCCCCCGTGGCCCCCACCCCTCTCCTCCCCCCAGGCCTTGCCTAGTAAAAAAAAAGAGTAGCATGGGACCTTTCTTGCCAGCATCAAAGTATAAGAATAGGTTTTACCCTTTCTGGCAATAAAGATGTTTAAACGCCAAACAGAAACCTTTTGCAAGGAATCCTGTCCGCATTAACCACACGTACTTTGTGGCGAATATGCGTACAAAAAAAACCAAGCTCTGATATTGTGCATTGTCTTTGAAACTATAATATGAGAGCATGTTTTTAGTTCACCACGAGTACGTGTGGTTAATGCCGAGAGGATTCCTTGCAAAAGGTTTTTGTTTGGTGTTTTAACATCTTAACACCACCTGTTTTATTGCCAGAAAGGGTAAAACTTATATTCTTATAAAAAATATTTTTTTTCATAGTTTTGAGTAATCTGCAAGTCAGTTTACAAACGTGGCAAATTATTACCGTGAAGCCGGTACGCGCTTGGCCTACTCGTCTTTGAGCAAAGTCCCGTGATCGTTGACGTCCTCCGCTGCGAAGACGGCGGCGCGTACTCATCATTAGCGCGTCCGTCGCAGCGTTCACCGGGCGGTCGTGGGGCTCCAACCGCGAATCTCTCTCCAACGAGCAGGAACATACGCGAGCGCTCCGCCATGTTCCCCCCGCCCCTGGGTGATCTGTAAAGCCGCGTTGCTGTATCAGCTGATAAGAGAACACGCGCTTCTCATGAGGCAGCAGAGTTCTCCAGAGTTTGAATTTTAAACGCGGTGGTTTTGTGACCCCCGGGGGGCCTCAACGTCGGCTGCGAGTGTCTCTGCGTGTGCACGCGTCGTGATTATGCCGGAATAAAGACAAAGACAAAGACGCCCCCCCCGCCTTTACCCGCGTAGCCTTCAACAGACTCGTAGGGGCAAGTGCTGTTAGCGAGTAGCAGCACCTATGAAGGCCGGCACGGCACACGAGGGGGGTGGGTGTGTTTTTTGTTTGCATTCCGACTGCAGGTATTGTGGTCAATGCAAACATGACTCCTTGTAAAAAAGGTGTCAGTTTTGTTGCCAGATAAAAGGGTCAAAAAACAATTATCATATTTTTCTACTGGCAAACACACACGCACACAAAACACATACACACGGGCGCCGATGAACAGTAAACGGCCGTATGCATACGCACACAGCCGCCTTTGTCTCCCCAGTGCTGAGGTTTTTTTCACGCTATACCAGGTACTCATTTAAGGTTGAGTGGACCTAGGGGGAGGCCCAGGACTTGCTCACATCGCCACCGTGAGAGATCGTGACGGCTTTGGTGAGGCCTTCATCCATCAGTGGATCATGGCCAGTGGTGATGATGATCAGGGGATACACCAGCTGATTTTGTTTCTCATGTAGACCGACCCTTCTGGTTTCATGGGAAGGGGGTACGATGTAAGGTATTGGCCAGCGAAACGCGAGGTTCGGTGAAAAGGTTGGTTGGTGGAATAATTTAATTGTTTCTTGGAAGATAAGTCGAGTTGAGCCTGGTTAGTGTGTGGGTGACCACCGCGGCTTTCCTGGGGTGGTGTGGTAGGCGTGGGTTGCAAGACGACTAGAACATGGCATTGCTGGGTGTCATCACCCCCTAGTCGTAGGTAGCGGGTTTCCTTCGGTTGGCTCCCACATGAAGCTCAACACTAATGAAACGTGTTGGCCAAACATCGCAATGTTTACAGGAACCTTTCTGATACAACAACAACAAAAAGTCTGGAGACTCTGCGAGGCTTTCCTGGGTAAATATGTGGCATTACCATAATTATCATCGATTTTTGAACATCCTTCGCGTTAAACTTGCCCGGATCATTCTTAATAACTCCCCGGTTTCGTGTGCGTTCGGTCACGTGACACGGCAGGGCCTATCACAGGAGCTGTCAGTACGAGCTTGTTTGTGTCACCCTTGTGAGAGGCAGGGCGACGATGCAGCGTCTCCATTTTCTGTTCAATCGTGGAAGTCGCCCGCCCTGAAACTCCCGCCGTGTTACAGCGGCCTGTTTATCGTTATTATCATTCCGCAGCTTTGCCGAGTCTCAAGGCTCTTTTTCATGAGGGTCCTTGCAAGTTTTTCGCAGTCGGGTGGGGATGGGGGGGGGACGCACTGCGCTACGAATACGGCGACTCGAGTTCGATTCCCGCTCACGACCAATAAACCATGACGATTTTCTCTAGGTCGACTCAGCCTAAAATGATACCCCGGTGCAATGTGTAAACGTTGACACTAAGGAGACAAAGGCCGCCGGACGTGGTGCTGACCACTCAACCCCCTCTTGAGCCAATCCAGCCTTCATAGGTGCTTGCTACCATTATTTTTCACCAAAAGTAGATTAAAGGCTTATATGGGAGATATTTGCCTTTGTATGCGAGTGCAGTGGTTGTGCACTACGCTACGAACCCGGCAACCCGGGTTCAACTCTTGCAAGTTTTTCACAGTCAAGGGTTGGGGTTGAGAGGGAGACGTTGCTTTGTGTAATCCCAATTGACTAATTTGCAGGCAATGTTTAAGCATTGGGACGTTTTGGCCAAAGCCAGTTACATTGTACTTTTTTTTACTTATGGGAGGAAACTGCAGAACCCGTAAGGAAAATCCATGCAGAACACGAGGAGAGAGGGAACATACAAACTCCACGCAGAGAGGCGCACGAGTCGGGAATCGAACCCAGGCGGTACTTGCCGTGGGGCGGCGAGTGTCGCAACCGCACCGCCGGCTGCTCTGCCGCCCAGGAGACCGCTTTGCCAAGCTGCACCGCGGGGGACGGCACACCAAGTTGGTTGGCAAGCTTCGCGACTCGACCTCCGTGGCCTTGACCGTGACCACCGGCTTAAAGCAGGTTTTTTTTTTGAGAGTCGTGGGGGAGGGAGGAAGGGAGAGGGGGGGGAGGCATCGTGCCACGTCCCCTTAAAGGTTTGCGCCGAGTCGGTGCATTCGAACGCACTCAGGGCGAAGGATAAACACAGAGTTAATGTAAGCACTGTAGCACGCTTACGTAATTAGCGTGTGTGTGTGCGCGCACGTGCGTGTGTCATGCGAATTTGCATGCGTTTTTGAATGCCCGTCGATTTCTGTGTGCGTGTGTGTGTGGGGAGTGGTGGCGCAGTGGTTAGCGCACTTCGCTACGAACACGGGGAGCCGGGGGTTCGATTCCCGCTCATGGCTAAAATCAGTGACGATTATTTGAACCGGTCTTGGGCCTGCCCTAGGTCGACTCGGCCTCAAATGAGTACCTGTTGCAGTGCATAAACATCACCACTCGGGAGACAAAGGCAGCCGGGCGTGGTGTTGGCCACCCACTCTTTGTATGCCGTACCGGCCTTCATAGGTGCTCGCTAACAGCACTTGCTCCAAAAGTGTATTCAGGTTATATGGGGGGTCTTTGTCGTGTCTGTATGTGTGTCTGTTAGTTTGCTTGTTTGGACTGGGCTACTAATAGTAGCTATTGAGTATCAGACAGACCCTTCAATAGTCAACAAGTATTCCTACTAAATTTAACTAATTTATATTAAAAGTAAAGTTGTGAGGTGGGCCATTGCACTGTGGGAAGATGTGTTCTTGTGACAGCAAAGGCTCAACCCACCCGGCAATGCTTGCCAGGCCCAATTACCATCTCAGTGCAAGGAGTGTAATAGGCGCTGTGTAATAGGCGCTCGCTAAAAGCGCCCGCTTCTGCCGGGCTAACCGGGAGGACCTTTGTCTCGGTGAGCGAGCGAACAAGGATGGCGTCGGTTATAATTAGTGACCCCCGTGCGTTGCCGAGCCAAACACAGGAAGCTCCTGCAGCACCCGGCTTCCTGCCATTGATGGACGCCGCACGAGAGGGGAGGGGGGGCGGCACGGGATCGGGAATTGTGTTGTCGGCCGCGGTCCGAACTCGCCCCCTTCTCCCCCCGCGCCCTTCTCCTCCACCACCGTCCACCCGAAATTCATCGTCGCCGCCGTCGTCAACATCGCTCCGTGATTGTACCGCACCCCCCCTGCAGCGGCGCATCTTGTGGCAGGGTGAAGGCGGCACCTGGCCTGCGACAAGGCGCGAGCCCGCCGGCAGCGGCCGACGTTGCGATGCGACTTCCCCGACCGATAAATCCGCGACTAATTCGTCAGATTTGGGCTGCAACGTCGCGCACGTGGCCTCTCCCGTTTCACGCAACGTCGCGTAATCGTTGGCGTTCACGGTTAACCGGACGGCGCGTATTCTGTGGTCAATGCACCACGCAGTGCTGTCTCGCCAGCAGGCTCTGTGGCAGGGCGAAGTGGCTCGCAAACGGGGGGGTTGAGGGTCCAAATCCTAGTTGGGGCTTGACTCATCACCACTCTGTGGGGTTGGTACAATAGGTACCACTTTGTGGAGAAGTCTTAAGTCTGTAACACGTGGTTCAGAATCATGGTAGACAACAACGACAACAATGGAACAAACATGCGTGGAGAGTTGCACGCTTGCAAGTACAAAGAGAGACAGAGAGAGAGAAAACATAACCCAGGTTTCATGACGTCGCTCACTGTCGAGAAAAGTCAGCGGGCTTGGGCAGGACACGTCGCTGGTGACGGCCAGAGGTCAAGAGCAGCGACGCAGTGGCAGTCAAAGGAGGAGAATGCACCCGAGAAGACGTCCGCTGAGGAGACGGAGCAATGAAATCGGCTCGCGTGCCGGTGCCAGGTGGATCGTAACGGCTTCTCTGTCGTTAGCCTCGACTGCCAGCGAGTCGTCCCTTCGAGCGACGTCACTGCAATCGGTCGGCTGCTGGGAGCCATCGGCTTTGGTATGCCCGCTTGTGAAGTGCGACGCGACGTCGCGTATCCGACTCGCTGGGGACTTGAGGCATCGGTTCGGGTCAAACGGTCGGATGTCTGAACATCTACAGACAGTGGCGGTTCCATTGGCGCGCATAGAAAGGTCACCGGATACAAATGAAGAGCAAACTGATTTGACTGCTGGGAGAAAGCGTCGCTGCGCTTTAGGAACATCTGTAAAAAAAACGAGCTTTTTAGTTCATCGGATTCCTCCAGTATAAATAAATATTCTGATAGGCGTGAGCGAGCGAATGTAGGCGAGATTAAGAACGCATGACCGTGCGTGAAAGCACTCGGGTTTGTGAACGTCTATAACAATGCGACAGTTCACACCACTGTGCACACATACTGCACACATACTGCACACATACTGCACGCATACTGCACGCATACTGCACGCATACTGCACGGTATACTGCACAGGGTGCGGACGGTTAATTGATCACAACGGACGTGTGTGACACTTGGCTATGCGGACATACTGCAGTACAGCAAGGAGTTTACTTTGAGGCAGACTTGTGAGCATTCTTTCTCACATGTCGTTAGGTTTTTTTCCAAGCGCCCTGGCTTCTCTTTACCCAATGACACGCACAGCAAACTTCAAAAAGCTGGATTTGGCTCAAGGTCCCAGTGCGACGCGGGACTCCGATGGAAACGAATCTCGGGAGACTCTCGCGGGACTCGGCTGGGCCTAACAAAGACTCATTGTTTATGTTCTTGGTACGACACCCATTAAGTTGCATCTTGACGTTGCTGGCGGCGGCGTTGTTGTGACTTCCCACCGCCGGGGAAAAGGCCTCCCCCCCCCCCCCCCACTCCGGTTCTCTTTCATTCAGTCCTGTTCCTCAAACCCTCTTGTCCCGGTGGTAACCGCCGGGCTCTGTAATGTCGCTTCGCCGACGCCGTTTCTCCTCTCTCTTCCTCCGCCGCTCCCTTCTTCTTACCTTCTCTCGGTCTCCACTCCGGAGGCAAGTTTCGTCTCTCGTCTCTAGTCAGTCGTTCCTGGCCCTGCCCATTCCCGCTCGATCCCTTCTGCTTTTATAGTGGTAGCAGCATCGGCAATCCCCCCTGTTCCTTTCCTTATTTCATTGATTCCTTGACTCATTCCTCAAATATGTTTGGCAAAAAAATCTTTGGCAAACTTGTAGCTTTTTTTCTCCCGTACTTGTTTCTTACTCGAGGACCATGCCTGTGATCCTTAAAATAACACCGGCAAAAAATGCACGTGTTCCGTTTTTTTTTGTTCTTGCGTAGGCGTATAGGCTGACGCTTGACGTACAACGCAGAAAGAACATTAACGCACACGTCGGGCCCCAGAGCGCGGGGGAGGTGTTCTCGCTCAAGAAGGGGAACTGAACAGTTGTTTGCGACCACTCGGTGATTTCCGTCATCGGCGCTTGTAGTCCGGTCCAGTTTGGTCCGGTCCGTTCCATGCGGAGTTGGTGTTCCGGGTTTTTCTCGTGCGCTCGCCAACTTAACAGCTAAATCCGGTTGGTCTGGCGCACAGTCGCACGGGGTCAGTGGGCGTGCGGGCGTGCGAGCGAGCGAATCTCTGAGCAGGCGTGCGAGCGAGCGAGTTGAGAGCGAGAGGGCGCGCGAGGGAGATCGCCCCGGCGAGCGAGTAGGAACTTGCCCCTGTGTGGGCGACGCCGTGTGGACGCGCTTGCTGCGGAGCGGGGAGAACACCTGGCCGCGTTTGCCGTGGGACGTTTAGGATCGGCGGATAAACGACAACGCGTCACGTAAGTCGTAAGATGTTTCACGGTTTCTTTCTTCAGTGGCGGGGCACTTGGCATTGACCTCAAAGTGCACCTAGCCTGGCACATGGTGATGTTTTGTCCGTAGACCTTTAAGGATCAGAGGGTAAAAAATAAGATGTAAAATACTCACGTTTTTTTCTCATTTAGTGGAAAGACTTATTTGTAAATCTAAAAAAATATATCGTAACTTTGTGGCAGGCTGCTTTCGATGACAGTTATGACGTCGTGGTTATGGTTTATTCTTGAATGGGATAAACAAAAAAAACGTTGAGGATTAAGTGTGCCTCGCATGCTCCTTGTAGCAATAAAACAAGGATTAATTAGGTAGACGGAGAAAAAAAAATAGTTTTCTTTCAGAAAAAAAAGTCACGGGGACCAGATTTTGATCTCGGAGGAAGTTCAACGTTCGTCAGGTTTTTTTGGTTTTGCTAAAAAATGTGCTGAGGTATTCGGTGCCTAACAATGGGGGCTCGGTCTTCGCAGCAGCAGCAGCAGCGATGTTGATTTGGCCATTTCAGCCGAAGCACACGCTGTTTATTTGTACGCACTCAAAGTAACGTTCCCTTCGAGAATGTGCCCAGGTTAGCGGCAGGTTAATGGCATGGCACTGCGACCCCAGAAGTGGCCGATGTTTCAGGGTAATTGACGGGGAGTGGGGCGGCCGACAGGGATGGAACGTGCCCCCCCTCCCCCCCCGAGAGGACGTCTCACGAGGAGACGGAGCGACGAAATCTCCTCGTGTTGCCGCCGGCGCTGGGGTTGAAGCGTTGCCGTCGCACGATCGTGACGGATGGCGGCGGCTCGGGGAGGCCCTTCATCCAGCAGTGGATCGATCTTGGCCGATGAAGATAACAATCAAATCTTGACTTAAAGCTTTTGTGACTGCAGGAATTCATATTCTTTGGGTCTTTCGGTAAAGCCACGTAGATAGAAAAAAAATATATAACACGATGATGACGATTGCTTGTGTTGCGATCGAAACGTCGTGATTTTTTAAATAATTTTTTCTATCTACGTCGCTTTACCGAAAGACCCAAAGAATAAGATAACGATCGTAACGATAACAAAAAGTTATTTTCTCCTCGTGAAAATGCTCGCTTTAAAATCGCCGCTGGAAAACTTTCCGTAGCCGACTTGTGTTTCACCACCAGACGGGCGTGCGGAATTCAAAGTCGGGTTAGAGGCTACGACGTTCAATTATTTGCCCACTTCTTCGGTTACGTTTCATTTACCGTATTCTCTTCGGGTTAAGAACCTGAGCAAATTCCACACGTGCAGCACCACTTATTGGCTTAAAGGGCGCGAGAGAGCGCGCGCAAGAGAGAGGGAACAAGACGGGCAACTTTGGGACGTTCAATAAAGACGCCGAGGTTGCTCCTCGCCAGTCACCCCTGTAAGCGACTCGGCAAACAGCGAACCGCGCTTTGGCGAGCGCCGGCAGTGAGCGGTGAGGGGGGGGGGGGGTGCCGAGCGCTTGCGCCGGATTGTTCCGCCACAAGTGAGGCAAGGGGCGGCCCGTGTGACTTTCCGAAGCCGGTGTGCGGGCGTCACGCTCCGTTTTTTCTGCGCGCTTTCCAGCCGAGGTTGCAATTGTTTAATGCGTCAGCTCTCTCCTTGTGTCCGTCCGTCCGTCTTGTGTCTGTGTGCGTGTGTGCAACTCGGGGGCACGATAACACTCGTGGAGATGAGCCAGCGTGAACGGAACCTGCGTGGAAAGTTGTGACGCTGTTAGAGAGAAAACTAGTCCTGTTTGGCAAAGGGTTGCTCAAAGCCTCGAGACAACAAAATACCGGCTTTTCTTTTGTTTCTGGTCAATAGTTAGAGCTTGCAAATTAGTATCGTTGCCCCTTCATCACATACGTGCTGTATGTACCGTACGTAGCCAACCGTGCTAATCGGAGGTATTGTATATGTGACCCAGTGCTCCCTTGGTAGAGATACTTTTAGTCTCAAAAGCCCCTCGTGGACATACACATACACCTCCAGCCATCGGTTTCTATCCACTGCTGGACGAATGTCCCCCGAGCCACGCAGCCGCCGTTTCCTCACGGCCCCTTGTGATGCCGCCCGCAGTCCGCCTCGCGCCCTGCTACACGGCCTCTTATTCGTCGCTCCATCTCCGCGGTGAGCGACATCTCGCCGCCGCCACCGGCGTCCTCTCGCCGTCGCCGAGCCGGCTCGCTGCCGTAAGGCTGCGAGTTCGGATCCTGGTTTTCGGGTTGACTCACCCCATCATCCCTACGGGGGCCGGTAAAATAGCTACCGCTTTGCGGAGAAGGATCACGCCGCTGCCGTAGGAACGTGGAATTCTCGCCAGAGGCTCAGGGCTGTGAACGAGAGGTTGAGCGCAGCGGCAACTCTCCATCGGAGCAGGAAATCCCTTTGACGTTCCTGAGACACACACACAGAAGAGGCTCTCCTGTCAGGAAGTAGCTTCGTCACGACACGAGGAGCCGGCCTCTGTGACCTTGGACTAGACCTCCGCACCGCATCGTCGACTCGGCCCAAAATAGGCGGCTATCGCGGTGCGTGCTAATTTCTTCAGAACTGCTTTATTACGTTTAGTTTGTTTTCCTTCCCCCGCACCTCCGATGAGCACGGTTGGCCACGTACGGTGCGAAAGAAGTTCAAAATACGTACGTACGTGCGTACATGCTACGTGCGTGCGTGCTACCACGGTGCGTGCACCAACCCGCCGGGCGTGCGTCGTGCCTCCGGCTAATAGGTGCTCGCCGACGGCGCCTCTCCCTGACGTCGGTCCGCACGGCGCGCGACAGAGCGTCTCCCTGCGCGTCGCGGCTGGTCGCCCCCCTCGTTCGGTTTTCTCCTGCACATCCTCGCCGTGTTGCGTGCGGCCGCGTTGAGCTCTCGTCGCCCGTCCCGCCGTTCACGTTCGCCTGCTGCCCCTCGCCGTCTCCTGATGTGCATTGTACGGAGGCAACGATGTTGTACATCTCCGTCAATTCTTGTGCATTGGTGCCTCTTGTCGTGTCGCCCTCTGACTCGCGTTGCCGCTTGCCGTCTGGACCTCCCGACGTCCCCCTTTGCTCTCCCCCTCGCTGTCCGCCGTCGCCTCTCCCGCCGTGCTCGTCGCGTCTCACCCGCCGGCACCGCCCCCGCCCCTCCGTCGCAGTGTCCAAGAAGCACGGGAAGCTCATCACCTTCCTCAGATCCTTCATGAAGTCGCGACCGTCCAAGCAGCGGCTGAAGCAGCGCGGGATTCTGCGCGAGCGGGTCTTCGGCTGCGACCTGGGGGAGTACCTGCTCAACTCGGCGCACGACGGTGAGCGTCGCCCGTCCGCCGGGAGCCTATCCAGCCCTCTGCCACCCCCCACCCATCCCCGCGTGATCCACGAACCCTCCTGGCCCAGTGCCGGATTAAGGTAGTGCGGGGCCTGTAGCATATGTTATAAAGGGCCCTAAATAAAAACACACATATTAAAACACATATTTTTTACTTGCACAGTAAAGTAATTGTATTTTTTCATTTCCTATACAGCCAGATAATAAAACAAATCGCTAGCCTTAAACACCCAGTCGTTCATAAAAGTTGAATGCAGTATAGTACTATAGTAATAGTGCAAGTGCAGAATCACTCAACCGGAATTGATAGCTTGACAGCATTCAGCGCGGGGCCCTTGAAAGTGCAGGGCCCATAGCTACTACACATGTAGTAGCTACTACTACATATGTCGCTACTTTTGCTACTAGGAGAATCCGGCACTGCCCTCGCCTCCGAAGCCAGAGCTGGCTCGCAGGTCAAACTGGCTGTAACGGCTACACGACCCCATTAGCGGTTCCGTTGCCCGATGACTGTGAGGCTACCGCCGCCTCCACCCTGGTGGAGTGACGGTGGTGAGCACCCTGGACGTGCATGCCTCTCGGGTGGCCGCTCCGATTCGATCTCCCGGCGTGGCAGTTGATGTAATGGATGGGAAAATGTCTTAAATCTGTGTGGTGGGGGCCAAGTGTGGGTACTCGCACGTCGTCCAAGGCATCTGGCCAATTTTCGTGAAAATTATTTTATTATGTTTTATTTGTATTATTTTATTATTTCCCTTCTACGTGACTTTACTGAAAGAACCAAGAAGATGCATCTGGACAACATTCATTATCGGGCTTTTGTCCCTGGATAGAAAGATTATGGCCACGTGCTCGACTCATGATGAGGATAACGGGCAGAGCGACCAGAGTGGTGGGTGGGCTACCTGGTTAGTGGGCAGGGGGTCACCTGGTTAGTGGGCGGGGGCCACCTGGTTAGTGGGCAGGGGGTCACCTGGTTAGTGGGCGGGGGCCACCTGGTTAGTGGGCAGGGGGTCACCTGGTTAGTGGGCGGGGGCCACCTGGTTAGTGGGCGGCGGCCACCTGGTTAGTGGGCGGGGCCAAGAAAAGTGGGTGGGGCCAACCTGATTACCGGTCGGTAGGGCCTGTGAGATTAAAGGGGGAGCTGACAGATGTGGGGAGGGGTTGCCAGCTCATATTGCGGTCCCAGTTGAGCCTCCCAGAAATGCGGCAGCGGGTCCCGCCCGTGTGGTGCGGAGCCGCGAGTGATCGCTCGGTCGTGTCCGTGCGCAGTCCCGCAGGTGGTGAAGAGCTGTGCCGAGTTCATCGAGAGGCATGGCATCGTGGATGGCATCTACCGCCTCTCCGGGGTCGCCTCCAACATCCAGAAGTTACGGTGAGGATGCGCGACGAAACTCGTCTCCCGGCACCGGCACCAGGAGGGCGGGCTCGGTTCGCGTGCATGAGTGATATAGCCTGCAGCACCACGAAGCCGTGGGGCACGCGGACAGCGACGGGGAGACCTCCATCCAGCAGTGAATAGGCCGTGGTTCATTATGATCACGTAGATCACTCGGTGTTCACCCATCCAGAGTTTCACCCGGTACCCAGGCAGCCCTTGGCAGTTGATCTGCGACGAGGCCGAGCCCTTACTCTCCTACCCCTTACCCCCCCCAACTCGCCCACCCGCCCACGCAGGCATGAGTTCGACTCGGAGCACGTGCCTGACCTCATGAAGGAGGCGTTCCTGCAGGACATCCACTGCGTGAGCTCGCTCTGCAAGCTCTACTTCCGCGAGCTGCCAAACCCCCTGCTCACCTACCAGCTGTACGACAAGTTCTCGGTGAGCGTGCACTCGGCCCCCGGGGGGGACGGAGTGGGGGTGGCGAGGGTTTGGCGCGTTCGTTACGCCGGCGCCGCTGCCGTTTTTTGTTGTTGCGCGGCTCCCGTTGGTGACGCGTGGTTCCGTCTGACGGGGCAGGAGGCGATGACTTCCTCGACGGAAGAGGACAAACTCGTGAAGATCCACGACGCCATCCAGCAGCTACCGCCACCACACTACAGGTACGCGCGCACGCACGGACGACCGCACGGGCGCGCGCCGTTGCCCACAATAAAATAATTTCATAATAATTTGATACTTTGTAACCCGCCGCACGGTATTCGCTCGCTCTCGAAGAGGCGACAACGAATTGGAGGAGGTGGGAGGAGACCCGCAGGCGAGCGGGAAATGCAGCCAGGCTGGCGAGCGAGCGTCACATTCCCGTCGAGCTCTCTGGCCCTCTGCACATTCCGTCGGTCGAGGTTGGACTGCGTGACAAAGCTCCGTTGATCAATGGTCAATGTGCGCACCTTGCGAGCCCCGTTGACCCGCCACGCACGGTCGGGCGCCGGCGACCTGTTGACGCGATTGCTGACGTGCGGGACATGGCCGTGCGTTTCACTGGCCTCTGCAGGACGCTGGAGTACCTGATGAAGCACCTGTGGGCCCTGGCATTGCATAGCGACAAGACGGGCATGCACAGCAAGAACCTGGCCATCGTGTGGGCACCCAACCTGCTCCGGTAAAAATCGGCACGGCTACTGCCGGCGCCTCCAGTGTCAACGCCACCGCCTTCCGTCCCCATTGACATCACCACCATCGCTACCACTGCCTCCATCACCACCGGCATCACCACCATCGCTGCCTTCCATCCCCATTGGCATCACCATAATCGCTACCACTGCCTCCATCACCACCGGCATCAACACCATCGCTGCCACTTCCTCCATCACCACCGGCATCAACACCATCGCTACCACTGCCTCCATCACCACCAGAATCACCAGAATCACGACCACTTCCTCCACCGCCAGCATCAACACAATCACTACCAGTTTGTACCAGATACATTTTCCGAACGAATAAGCTTCAGATGTGGTTTTAGGCCTCAAAACACACACGCACACATCTTTGGTCTATGTCACCTAAAATTAAGTATTTACCAATCAATTTCAGCCACACAAGTGTTCATCATATCTTATACATTTTTACCGTGATATTTATACTCCGTTAAATAAACATTCTAATTTAAAAAACCCCACCACTTATCTCAGAGTAATGAATATCCACTTTAATACAACCCATGTACATGCACAATTCTCATTTTTACGTGCTATGAAGAAGGGTTATTGGCAGAAATGTTGACTATTCTATATTTATATAGATATATTTTTTGAAGGTAGTGTTGTTGATGAAAATTACCTTTCGTGTTCATTGTGCTTGTGTACCACTGCCAATGCAGCATTAACAAATAATTTACACAATTTTGGGTTCTCTATAAAGTTGTTCACATAAATACATCAAGAGTTTCCTAAAGACCAGTAAGCCAAAAACTAAAGTTTCTTTGCCACTACCATCAAAATAACCTTCACAATGACCATCACCTTCACAAAGACAAAGATCCCCCGTATAGCCTGTTGGGGCAAGTGCTGTTAGCGAGCACCTATGAAGGCCGTCACGGGCACACGAGGGGGGTGGGTGACCAACTCCACGCCCGACCCCCTTTGTCTCCCGAGTGGCGACGCACCGGACCAGGTACTCATTTGAGGCTAAGTCTACCTAAGGGAGGCTCAGGACTGGTTCACATAATTCGTCACTGGTGTTGGCCGTGAGCGAGAATCGAACTCGGGTCGCCGGGTTCGTAGCGCAGCGCGGTAACCGCTACACCACCGCTCCCCACAACCATCACCATCAACATCACAACCACCGCTACCGTCGCCAACAACAGCAACACCACCACCACCGCCGTTTACCGCGACTTGCCTGCGCCTTTCAGGACGCAGACGATCGAGATGGCGGGCTATAACAGCACGATGGCGTTCATGGAGGTGCGCATGCAGTCCGTGGTGGTGGAGTTTCTGCTGAACCACACGGAGGTGCTGTTCAGCGACCGCTTCTCGTCCATCGTGCGCGACAACGCAGGTGACGACTCGAGTCTCGCCGCTGCCGTAGTTGGGCCAACGTTGGCACCGCGGTTGGACCGGCGTCGGCCCCGCGTTGGCCCCCCGACGTTTAGGTGTCGACTGGGAAGCTTTCACGAAAGTGCGCCTGTGTTGCACGGAAGGAGTGAATCGTAGGAGTGAGAGGGGAAAGTGAAAGGAGTTGTTTACGCGCTGATTGGAAGCGACGTCATTACTGTGTCCGTAAAACCCAAAACTTAATTCATAAGGGTTCGTGATTGGAACGCTTGACCAATTCTCTTCAAAATGAAGCGGCATTTTGGTTTACTGTGCAAAAAAATACAAAAAACGAAGTAGCCGGAGAAAACTCACGATTCAGAGGGATAACGCAGGGAGAAGTCCGCCGCACACATGGACTCAATTGCCGCACTGTCATCTGTCGGCCACGTCGGCAGCCTCGCGGCTTTGGAATTCTCAGCGCCGCGATTACGTTCCCCACATTGTGCGTATGTTTTCGGGGGTTCTGCCGCGCAGGGACGGTTGAGAAACCTGCGCTATTCACGAGCGGCTGCATGGATTTTGATGGCGGCTCGTGGCGCGAAACGTCGGACGTAATGCCGGACAAGTCGCAAAACATGCGGTACAGCCCAAGAGCGCGCGCGTCGGGAGACCTCCGCATTTATTAATTCGCTCGTTCGGTTACAGGTCGCGCTTCCGTACCGAGGCCTAAGTCTCTCCTCGTCAGCTCCTCGTCCACCAAACTGCTGAGCCTGGAGGAGGCCCAAGCGCGGAGGGACGTTGCTGCCGCCACCGCCATCGCCGCCACCGCCGCCGTCATCGCCGCCTCCGCCGCCCCGCACGCGTCCCCCGCCCCGCTGACGCCCGGTGGCACCGCCACCGTCGTCGTCGTCGGCGCTGGCGGAGCGAGCGGCCTCACCTCGGCCGCTACGCCGGAGGGCGGGCGGGCGTGGGAGATGGCGGCTGAGACCACGCCGGCGCTGGACATGCACGGCGAGAGGTGCGTAGCGGGGGGGGCGGCGGTGGTGCCACGCGTCGGGGTGGGGATGGTGATGGAGAGAGAAGAACGTGAACGCGCGTTGCGCGCGATCGGTGCAACGCGTTGACGAGCGATGCAACCGTTAGGTTGAACCTCTTTTAAATTGATACTTGCATTTTTTTATCCCTCTCCCGATCGTTGTCTTTGAATGACTTGGAGAATGCATTCGGATCTCTCGCAGAGCAGTGCAAGCCCTTTGTGTTCGATATCGGTCCATGGGATGCCTTCAATTGACCTCGAAACACCACCTCGCTTGCTCTGCCACCGAGAGAAACTGCTTTGTTTTTCGTGATCTGGATAACTTAAGCGAAACTCCCTAAATGATGTCAATTCAGATAGATACATTTGAACGTAGAACTGCATTCTGGGTGGGGGGGTAAAGCTATTCGGGCAATGCACTCGCCAATATATTTTCTTTTATATGGCGGTGACGATGTCCAACGCGATTCTTTGTACTTCGATTAAGGAGGGGTCGCTCACTCCGTCGACCGACGACCCCTAACCTCTGCCTCTCTGACCCCTTGACGCTGGTGCCGGCAGGAGGCAACTGTGGGCCGGACCGGCGGCGGTCAAGGGCAAGCGCATGGCCGGCGGCGGAAGCTGGCGCACCTTCTTCCAGCTGGGCAGGGGCGGCGGCGCCACGAGGCGCAAGCTGCAGCGCAACCCGAGTGAGCCGGCGTCCACCTCCACGCAGTGCTCCACCTTCCCCGGTGAGATTCAATCCTGATGCCCCGGCATCCAGTTACGCCCGGGGTTTTTTTTTTGTTACCCCGGGGTTATACGAGCGAGGACTCCAGTTATCCGGGATTATCTGCGGTCCAAACCCCAGATAACTGCTGATTGTGTTGAGTCTGTTGTTTGTTGTCCCTTCCCACCCCACCTCCGATTCGCACCGAACGTAGTCAGCCGTGCAAATCAATTTCAGTTCATTCGTTTAATTTTCAAGTACCCTGTGAGTTAAGAAGCTTTTGAATCAGGTTTTATCAACAAAAGCAACATACACACTTACACAACCAAGTGGCGGCCACCACGGACTACTTGATCCGGGTGTAGGTGGTCCCTCACATCACCCCGCGATAACTGGAGTTTTCCCGTAGACACGACGCTTCGATTGAAACTTTGCCGGGCATCGACGGGAGAACCCAGCAAGTCAGAATAATTACGCTTCACAATCCCCGCTGCACGAGCCGCACGTGGCCTTTGGGGGGTTCGACCGCGGCTTGGATCGTTGATCTCCCTGCGGCTTTATCTCTGCGTTCCCGTGTCCACCCCCCACCCGTAGGTCTGGTGCGGTCTGAACGCGGGAGCCTGAGGTCGGCGAAGAGCGAGGAGTCACTGACCTCGCTGCATAGTACGGAGGGTATGCCTAGTTCGAGGGCTTGGGGACACACATGCACGCGCGCACGCACACACGCACGTCTGCAACAATCCCCTGTATAGCCTACATTTCTAACTTGAAGGCAACGCAAACTCGCGGTTTGCCAATGCAGCTTGTTATGTTGATTTTGTTGTCCTTACCCGGCACCTCCGATTAGCACGGTTCGCTACGTACGTTGTGAAAGAAGACCAACATACAAACGCACATTGACTGTTGCCGAAAGCACTGTTAGCGACCGTTAGTTGTGGCCTTTACCACATCCGGCCAGCTTACCACTGCTCCCAATGCATCATACAAGACAAGACAAATATCCCCCATATAGCCTTGATATACTTTTAGGGCAAGTGTTGTAAGCGGGAACCAAGTAGTGATGTTTACATCCTGTAGCAGGCGCTCATCTGTATAAATATATACAAATACACAGAACTCTGCATAGCCTACTTAAGCTGCCGGAGTAAATACCGTGTGTGAGCACCTATGAAGGCTGGCATGTTTATACAATGCACCAGGTACGTATTGAAGGCCAAGTCGACCTAGGGAAGGCCCACGACTGGTTCAGTTATTCCTCATCACTGCGGCCACCAATTGAACCCAGGGGGCTGGGCTCTTCGTGCAGTGTACCGACCACTGCACCACCGCTCCCTTTACAGACGGATAGAGACGCGCAGACATGCACACCCACAGACAAGCAAGCAAATGCATTTAGACAATAAGGCACTCTCAGGAACACAGATAGATGATGATGACGATGGTGGTGGCGATGAAAACGCATTAATCACTCGCCCTTTCTCGTGACCGTCCTCCCCACCGTCTCGTTGCAGTCGAGGTGAAGGCTTCCAAACCGCGCCGCCCTCGCTCCAGCAACGACGCGCTGTCCCCCAGCTACTGCGCCTCGGTGCTCTCCGACGTCTCGCAGTACGGCTCCTACGACAATCTCCCCCCGTCACCGCCCACGGACCGGCACGACGGCACCCGCCGTCACAGCAACTCTCGCAACGCGGCGGCGGAGGGAAGGGTTGATCGCGGCGGCGCTCGGGATGACGGCGCCGGCTCGGCGGAGAGGACGGGCAACGCCGCCGCCGCAGAGGAATCCGTCGGCAGCGACGAAGATCTCCTGGACCCCCCGGACGTCGGGGACGACGGCCTGGACTTCGACCCCATGGCATTCCACCTGAGCCCGGCGCGCAGCGGCGGCAAGCCCTCGTCGGCGGCGTCGTCGCCGGCGTCGTCGTCCGCTTCGTCCGCCGGCGCCCACCGGAGTCCGGCCGTGTTCCGGGTCGGCGAGTTCGAGGCGGGAATTGTGGGGGGGCGGCTGGCGATGCCGACGGGGCAAGCCTCGCGGGAGCCACAAACTCGCGAAAGCGACGCCAGCGCCGCCTCGCCGGACGGGCGGAACAACCCGCTGGAGCCGCGTTCGCTCGCAGATGCCGCGGTCGTCCTCGAAGACCGCTTGCCGCCAGCCCCGACCAAATCGGGCAGGGGCAAGGAGAAGCCGCAGGAGTGCGTCGTAGCGGACGCGGGGAAGGAAGCCGAGGCGGAGGCGGCGCCGACGCCGGAGGCCAGCGGCGTCACCGCCCCGGCCTCGCCGGCTGCCGAGCGGCTCCGGAGCCCCTTCTTCGGCCCCGAGGGGTGGGCGGCGGTGGCGTCGACGCCGGCGTCGGAGGAGAGGGCGGCGGGCAAGTCGGTGTCGTTCGCCGAGAAGATGGTGCAGGCGTTCTCGCCGAAAGCGGGCCGCAACTCGGCCAAGGCGTCGCCCATGAGCATCTCCGAGCCCATCGCCATCACGCTGCCGGCGCGCGTGTCCGAGATGATCGGGGCCACGCCGGCGACGACGACCGCCGCGCCGGCGGCGGCCGCGGCGGCCTCTGCGCCTGCCGGGCCCGCCGGGTCCGCGGGGCCGGCGTCGCCGCTTCCCCACGGCGGTGCCGCCGCAAAGGGATTCAAGTACCTGGGGAAGTCGCCGCCCGTCATGGGGGTCACGTGGTCGCCCGACGCCCACACGGTCAACTTCTCGTCGACGGTGGATGGGGCAGCGAGCAGGGCGCGGACGCCGACCGCGGAAGGTGCGCACGCGCGCGTGTGTTTCTGTGTTTCGGTGTGCGTGTGTATTGATTGATGTGCGTGGCTTGTGTCTGTACGTGTCAATCCGTGTGTGTCAATGGAGAGTGGTGGCTCACTGTGCTGCGAACTCGGGAACCCGAGTTCGATTCCCACTCACGGCCAACACCGGTGACAAATATCTGAACTGGTCCTGGGCCTCCCCTTGGTCCAGTAAGCCTCAAATGAGTACCCGGTGCGGTGTGTGAACATCGCCACTGGGGGAGACAAAGGCAGTCGGGCGTGGTGCTGGCCACCCACCCCCTCGTGTGCCGTGCTGGCCTTCATAGGTGCTCGCCTAACAGCACTTGCCTAAACAGCCTGTTAAGGCTATACGGGGGATCTTTGTGTGTGTCTTTGTTTTGTGTATTGATGGGTGGCAGTGTGCATGGCTTGTGTCTGTACGCGTCATTCCGTGTCAATGGAGAGCCGTGGCTCACTGCAATGCGAACTGGGCGACTCTGAATTCGATTCCTACTCACGGCTAATATCGGTGACGGTAATTTGAACCGGTCCTGGGCCTCCCTTAGGTCGACTCAGCCTCAAGGTATGTAAACATCAGCAGCGGGGAGACAATGGATGTCTTTGTGCATGTGTCTGTGTGTAATTGAATTGTGCGTATATTTGTGTCTGTGTGCATTACGCAGGTTTGTGTCTGTATACGCGTGTGTGTGTGTGTTCATTTTGCGTGTCTGTACGTCAGTATCCCCGCCCAGCGGTAACACGCAGAGATTCGCGGTTCAAATCTGCCAGGCTGCCTCGGTTAATAAGTATCAACCATAAAATATGCACCGTCTGCTTCTTAGTAGTGTGTGACGTCATTTGAAAAGGGTAGTCCGTTGGTTGCCAGTTTCACGATCCAAAGTTGAAAAACGCCCCACCATTTGCTCGAATGGGACTACACGGAGCAATCATCTCCCCCTGCTGGCAGACTTCAGTCCTATTTTCCAGCCGGTGCTGCGCACGCCTTGTGTGGCACAGGGACGGCTGCCACTGGGGTGCCCTCTAGTTTGACTGCAGCAGTTCATTGCCGAGCAAGCGCCCCCCCTGTACGTGCGAATCCTTGACGCTCGTCCCTCTCAAATGCTCGTCGAACAGGCATTAAGGACGGAGGAGCCACGAGCGACGTGGCAGCCGCCCAAAGGATCGACGCCAAGGGCCCTCCGGAGGACGCGACGGAGGAGCACGCGGCTCGCGAATCGTCCGACGGCGCCGTGAGAAAGCAGACGGAGGCAACGGCGGCGACGGAAAATCCGAGCGACAGCCGCAGGGAGAGGAAGCAGCGGCACGGGGAGGCCGCGGACGAGCGGGCGAGCGGTGGCGGTGGCGGCGGCGCCGCGGCGGCGGCCGCTGGACGGGGCGAGCGACTGGGCAGGGCCTTGAGTCTGGACGGGGACACGCCCGCCAGGGCGCCGGCGAGGCCGCAGAGGCTGCCGCTGGTCGGCGTCAACGATGCGGGCGGGAGGCGCGACGCGGAGGCGAGTGCACCCGCGTATCCCGTCATCGATATCAGTGGGCCGTGATCAATCCACTGCTGGATGAAAGCCTCCCCAAGACGTCTCGCTCTCTCTCATGTTTTGCATTCCTATGGCAGGGACAACATTTATCCATGATGCTCTATTCCTCCTCTTCCTGTCCAGCCCCTATATGGAGGCCGTTGTTCACAAACTTGTGACACCAGCAGCAGCAGTCGTCATTGTCATCGTATCTAATCTTCTGCTGATGTTTCCTTGTCATTGTTGTCAGCTCTGTTGCCTCCCTCCTCCTATTCCGCTCCATCATTCAATCCATTTCTCATACGTCCTCTGCCTGTACGCAAGTTTCCTCGCTGCATCTCTGCGGTGGACGGCACCGTGTGTCCTGACAGACCCACCCACTTCCTGCCGTTACTTGCTCACACACAGATGTGTGTTCAGCGGAGGAGTGATAGCACCAGTGGTTAGAGTGCCGCGCTCTGAACTCTGCAAGCCGAGTTCGATTCCCGTGGAAAGATAATTTCAGAATCGGTCCTGCTCCCTCCTCTGCTTCACCAGTCCGCACTGACCAGCGTAGTATTGTGTTTAAACACCCCCTGCCATCGCAGTCATGGATGTTCATCCATTGGTGGATTGACAATGTCTAGAATTGATAAAAAAAAAATGTTTTATTTAAACCCACGTGAAGCTTGGTGCTATCACTAGGCTAGCTCTTGTTGACACTTGCACTCTGTCTCTGCAGGAGAAGGCGATGGAAAAGGACAGGGCGTCGCAGCAGCAGCAACAACCGCAGCAACACTCAAAACTGCCCACCACCCACCACCAACACCACCGCCAGCACCAGCACCAGCAGCATCACCACGGCCACAGGAGGCAGCTGTCGCTGTCGGCGGACGGTTCCGAGCGCCGCTTCGAGGGCACCGTGGCACGGGCGTGGAGCCCCCCACTCACGGCACACGACTCCGACATCGCCCCCCCGCGGCCGCCCTTCCCCTCCGACCTCCTGTCGTCACAACTGCACAACCACTACCTGCACCACCACCACCAGCAGCAGCACCAGCAGCAGCACCAGCAGCAGCACAGGGCGGACGGCTCGCCCACACAGTTCGTAACGACGCTCGCCTACACCGCGCACGGCAAGGGCTTCCCGACGTTCGTGACCGCCGCCGGCCGGCGCACGGAGGGGCCCGGTCCGGCCACAGCGCCCTCGTCGGCGGTGGCGACGCCGGTGTCCACCCCGTTCTGGCCGAGCGCGGGCAGCGCCGGCGCCGTGGACGGGAGGACGCCGCTGGCGCTGGCGCCCGGGGCGTTCGGCGACGCCGTCAACAGTCGCTCGCTGCCCGTGCTGCGAACCGAAGTGCCGCCAGGCCCCGAGACGGTGGTGTACGTGGCGCCGTCAAAGTCGCGCCAGCTCCACCTCCAGCAGCAGCAGCAGCAGCCGACCGACGTCATGAGCAAGCAGCCGTACTTCGAGAACGGGCGCGTGCATTACCGCTTTGCTTCTTACCCGCCTCCTCCGGGGTTCGGTGGGCAGCTCAATCTGTCGGACCCCCACCCGATGGCGGCGCACCCCCAGCAGAGACCTGGCAGCAGCGCCAGGCCTCCTCGGAACGGCGCTTTCCTCCTCGAGGCGGCCGAGGCGTACCAGACCCCCCGAGGCAGCGCCGCGTACGAGCCTATCGCGGCCGGCCGCGGCGGCGGCAGCTACTTCGAGACGCTGCAGGACTTCCTGGCCGGGGGGGCCCAGCCGCCGTTCGGCTTGCGCCGCGTGCACACGTTCGCGACGCGCGACGACTTCCCCCCGCAGCCGCCGATGGCGCAGCAGCAGGAAGTGCCGGCGGCGACGGTGTGGGGCGGGCGCCAAGCGCTGGGCGAGCCGACGTGGGTGGCGGCGCCCGGCCGGCGCGAGCACAGCTTCGTTAGCCGCGACGTCCCGCCGTCTCCGCGCCGCTCTGCCGCGGCCGCCGCGGCCGCCATCGGCGCCGCCCGTGACAAACACCCGCCCATGCGCAGGGAGTCACGCACCCGGCAGCAGGCGAAGTCTGCCGCGCTCGTCTCGCGCTATGACAACGTGGTGCCGTCGGGGGACGAATTTGCGTCGCGGGCCTTTGGCCCGGCGCCATTGGGCGGCGGCTCGGACGCCTTCCCCTTGCCGGTTCACCTGCGGAGCAAGTCGGACCCGGGCCGCTTCGGCCTCATGCCCGAGGGCTGCTTCTTCCAGCCAGGCCGCCGTTCGCTGCTGCTGGAGCAAGGCTTCACGCTGGTGTCGCCTCTGGATGGAGCCGAGATTCAGACACAGCAGCAGTACCAGCAGCAGCAGCACATGTACCACGTGACGGACAGGCGCGGCGCCAACTGGAAGGGCCCGCCCGGAGGGAGAGGGGGCGCCGACGGCCCGACGCCGCAGCTGTACGCGCTGGTGCCGGTCGGCGGGTACGAGCACGGGCGGCCTATGGAGGTCCACTATGTGGGCAAAGCGGAGCCGGAGAGGGGGGCGCACCGGCAGCTCCTGCCGCCGCCACCGCTCCAAGCGCAGCCCGCGCGGGGGTTCTATTCGACGGACCTGGACAGTGTGGCGCCCGAGCACCGGCAGCAGCAGCAGCAACACTACCACCACGAACGCCGGCAGTCGTTGCCGGTGGCGGCCGGCGGCGCGCAGGCCGGCTACCGGGAGACGCACGCGCACCCGTCATCCCAGCACCACGCGCCGCCGGCGCCGCATCAGCACCACGCGCCACCGGGGCCCAAGAGGCCGAACACGGCGGCGGCGATGGCGTCGCAGTACGAGAGCCTGGTGCCGACGGACGACATCGGCGGAGGGGGGGGGCCGGGCCGCAGGGTCGGCGCGTTCTCGCCGGCACCGGCGGCGCTCTACTCGCAGCACCAGCCGCCCGCCGCCGCGCTGCACTTCATGTCGCCGGGCCCCCCCGCGGGGGGCCCTCGGGGCGGCCCCTACGTGAGGCAGGGTGGGGGCGGCTTCTACCCGGCGGAGCTGTCGATTCACCGGGCGGAAGCAGAGCTGCAGGTTGACCTGTAGACGCCCGCGCTCGTTGAGGGAGGGGTGGGGGGGTGATTGACGGCACTAGCCGTGAACTCTTAACCTTGATGCTTTGTTTACCCGGGACAGCTTCACTCGCGGAATCTCAAGACTGTGGTTGTCTTGTTTTTTGTTTTTAGTGACGGTCCTGCTTGGGATGTCCAGCCAATTCTAATCTGGGTGGGGTTTTTTTTTACTGTGCGGAAGGGAAGCGGAGTGCCCGGAGAAAACCCATGCATGCTAGGGGGGGGTAACCTTCACTCTAGCTCTGAGCTCAGACCCGATGCGTAACTCTCATCCCTGTGCGGTCTCGTTAAAGTGATAAGCGGCAGATTTCATCTCCATAGCGGCAGCGCCCAACACGTTTATTTATGATTCGTTTAAGTTAATGTCTGTTTTATTTTTTTGTAAATGTCCTTCCTGTTTGTTACACTCGGTTTTCCTGCGCGATATTCGGGTGGCTTAGCGACACGCGCATCGGTGTCGTTGAGCCCAAAATGGAGAGGGAAATGGTTGGGATGCAATTTTCATCTTGCCATGTATTTTAAATGTTTTTTTTTCTATGATTTTTATTTTAAAAGTACTCGCGTGTTTTTATTTTATATTTGCCGTCATTGATTTTGCGACGTAGCCGTACGTTTTAAGTCGTCGTTGTCGTAATTTGTTTGTCACCGTTTGTTGATGGGGACCACATGCAGGGATGGAAGGACTATGTTTCAGGGGTTCAAGTCCACCAATCACGCAAGACTATTTGCGATCACGTGAGGTTCGGCAAACCAATAACAGGGCCGGGTTTAGGTATCGTTGCTCCTGGGACACCAGGGCAGAGAAGAGACCCCCTCCTCCCAAGACAAATACAGATACACACAAGATCCAATCAAGTCAGATTTTTCTGAATAAAAACAAATATAACTTTTTGTGTGTGTCCCTCTGGAGTTTTGGACTATGGACAAATATCCCGTTTGCCCCCTTCCCCTGCCTAAATCCAGCCCTGAGTAACAACAAATGAATACCAACATAAACGCGCATGTTGGTTCGAACATCACCGCACGTCTGGTAACCCAGAACGCGTGCCGAATTCATGAGACATTAGCAGAAAAAAGGCTTTGGAAGCTTTACAATCGATCACGGACGCCTCCTTGTCGTTGGAGTCTAAGAAACAGGAGATGTGCACGGCAATCTGAGCCAAGCCAAGCTGCCAGCAGCCATCCGAGCCGAGCGCCCTGCCAGCGGCCATCCGAGCGGAGCGTGCTGCCTGTGGCGATCTGAGCCGAGCGAGCTTCGAGCGATGATTGAGCTGCACCGGTGTCGCCCCGATTCTGGCACGTATCGTGTTTTGCGCGGGAAAAAATCCGCTAAACAAAATTTTTACGAAATAACTAAAAACCCATAAAACATCCATTCCACGTAGGACGCGGCGGTTCATTAATGCGACAGGTTTCGTTGTGTCGGTCGTCGCGACTTCTCAGAGACTCCCAACTCACGATGACGATGAATGAATGAATGTGCCAGTGACCATCATCCTCACTGCGTGTAAGCAGCCTCACTGCAGGACAGAGCCTTGGTCCTCCCTCTTCTTCCAATCCTCGCGCAGCTCGGCCTTCAGCAATCTCTTCCTTCATCTGCCTTTCAAACCTCGTAAATGCACAGCCCCACTTTTGCCCATCCACTGCTGAAAAGGGGCTCCCACTCCCCACGCCGTGTGGATAATGGGCGTTATTTCGATCATATTTCGACCATATTTTGCCACGCCGCTCAGCGTGAGTTGCCATAGGGGGGCATAGAAGAGCAGTACGACGATCTGTTTTGCTGCGCTGACTTGTCGCCCACCACCAAGTTCTATTTTTATTCTTATTACCAAGCTTGTCAGATAGCCAAAAAGCCTCACAGTCTCATCTGTTTTTCAGGAGGGTCCTACCATGTTTTTGCAGTAGGGGGCGATTCTGCTGCTGTGACCAATCCCAATTGAGAAATTCGCAGGCAATATTTTAGCAGCGGGGATGTTTGGCCATTACTAAATTACACAACTCCTACCTTAACATGTACAGTACGTATTTTGGTTGCTGGGTATGAAACACAACATTTCCATAAGTTACGGTCCTTATCCCTACCTTATTCCATTATTTCTTATGGGAGAAATTGCCCCACTTTGAGTCGCATAGGCAATGTTTACACTCTTACGGCCCCTACCCCCCATTAACACGTAGTAGTAGTATTCCATATGGGGGAAAAGTCCCCGTTATACATCGTTTCGTTATAAGTGGCAACTTTCCGGCCCCTAACCCCGACGTATATTGGGGACCGCCCCGACCCCCCGTACTTGTACCACCACTCTTGCCTTCCTGAATCATCTCTTCATCTTTGCACGAACTATCTCTCTCCTGAAGTCCTCTCGTGGCTATCAGGCCTCGACATTGGTATTTAGCTCCGAACACGTCGCCGTACGCAAGATTTGGAATAAGTTCTGACCCAATCCACACACCTTGTGACCCAACACGCACGCTACTCTAAATTCGCATCTCAACAAAATTACCAAATCACCATCACCTTGCGGATTTACCCACTTTCGGTGATGAGAATTTGGCACGTTTCCACCACAATTTAGCACGCGTTTTGTCGAATAAGAGCGCATATAAATGGACCCCCTCCTCTCGAATGTTGGCTGAAATAGAGCAGTGCAATCCTCATGCAGTTATGTTGAGAGTAACATTAATGATGCAATTTGTAGCAAATAACCACGACTCGGATGAGTGAGGTGCCAAAGGCTTGACAAGGAGGAGAGGTTCGCTGCCAATGCCCAGTTGAATGCTGCCCCCCGCGTTCCACAAAGGCAGCCACGGAGAAACGACACCCGGCCAGTGAGGGCCCCTGGCCCACGGTGTAGAGATTGCAACGTAGTTGCTGTGTGTGCGTTGTGCTTCGTTTAACCCGGACTGCATTACTCGACAATTGAACAGCACTGCGAGAGGCCGCATGAGTTTGCAATGGGCTGTCACGCAATGACAAAACCCATTACGCGGATTTTTTTTGTGTTCGTGACAAAATGTATATGTTTAACAAGATAACTAGTTTATTTTGCATTTTTATGACAGTCTCATACTTTTTTAATGCAAAAAAAATGTACATTAAAACATTGCTATAAAATGCCGTTGTTTCTCTCCCACTTATAAACCGTGCAGGCCGCATTCTCTTGCCTAGGTTCCTCTGCTCGGTTCGAGTGAACTCCGTGGGCTGGGCTCTCTCGGTCTTTCGGCCTTCATAGGCTCTACAATATTGATCCAATGGGCCATAAGTGGCTCAAATATGTGCAGCTTTGTTGCAATGAGGACCCAGCAAAGTGTCTTTGTTCAACGAGGAATGTTGTACTAAATTTGAATAACACAACAACGTTGTGTTATGGTAATTTACTTTTAAACTTAGCTCCCAGTCCCTGCGTACGAGCTGATACAATCCAAGAACGCATTTGTGATAAAACACACAGACCTGAGCTTCCAAGAAACTCTTCCATGCAGTCTTTCTATTCACGTAAGCAGTCTTTTTGATGCACATCGATAACAAATGTTTTTAAGATCGCAGTATAAACATTAAGGTAAATTTGGAGTAAATGTAGTCCTTAATAAAGCACAATGCACACCAAAATTACGTGCAGCTAATTGTAGCCGAGTGTGAACCCTTCACACCTTGAGATCAATGATATCTTACACCACAACTGGCGGAATGGGCCTCCACTAAAACGAGCTCAAGAACTCAGCAAACAAATGCAAACGTTGACCCAACGTTATCATGGCACAACGTTTGCATTTGCGGTTAGAACCAGTTGTACCAACGTCCCAGGGTTGCATGTTTACTGTGGGTGGGACCCTGAGTGGGACCTCCACCCCCACACTCCACCCATGAGAGGGCATTGGTGACACGTTGTTCCATGCCGCACGGGAGTCGTGGTAGAGATGGGAGTGCCCACACTTTAGCGCCACCACACCATCACACCGCAACGTTGCACCTGCCCATCGACTAACTGGGATAGACTGATGTGGAGTGGGGGATTTGGGAAACTAGCACCATCGTTTCAACTGCCTCTCCGATTTTTTGACAAACAATAATATCATATTCTTGGTTCTTTCGGTAAAGTCACGTAGAAGGGAAATAATATAACTATAAAACAAATAAATTCTCACGACGTTTCGACTGCAACACAAGCAATCACCATCAGGTGTGAGCATTTTTATTGTTATTGTTGTTTTATTTGTTATTTCCGTTCTACGTGACTTTACCGAAAGAACCAAGAATATGAATCCCTGCAGTCGCGAAAGCTTTAAATCAAAACAACAATATCCTTCACGTGCTCAGTCGTAGGATTTTACAGGACATCGATGACTGTCACCGGGACGCTTTCACGATTTTTCGTTGACCGTAAATAAGATCACGTGTTTTTTTTCTAAGTTTTCTCGATTGTGATGGAGATATCAGCATGGTTTATTTTGCCCAAATGTACACCTGAAAAGGAAACATTCACCGACAACTCTGGATTGCGTCCTGGCATCTTAGGGGGAATAACATCCACAGTCAGGAGCTCATGCATGTGAATTAGTATCACTTGCACTGATGTCATAACATTAATTCTTAATTGAAGCTGCCAACACCATCAATTGAAACGGCCTGAAATCGTTTTTCTTCTTTTAGTGAAAGTACGTCTAATAAAAAAAAGTATTTAACCGATACATGCTCTGAATAATTCTAAAACTAAGTGACGTACACCTGCTTTGTTAGAATTGCAAGTGCCTACCTTTGGTAATGTGATTACATGAAGGGTAATCTCATCACAATAACATTACTTGGAGTGCGTGACAAAATTATTCTCAACCCGTTAACGTGCAGGCGACAAATGCATCGTGAGCGCTGAAATGTAGTTCTTGGTCATAAATTGTTCCGCTCATGCACACAGACAAATGCACAACTGAGACGTGCCGATACAGTCAGTGGGAAGTCAACGGTGGTCATGTTGACAGACCGGTACTTGTCATAGGAATGTGGAATTGCCACTACCGGCTCAGCTCAACATTAATTTTAATTTGGAGTCAAAAGTTCTAAAATGGTCAGTACTTAACGGGATGACCTATAGAGTCGGTGGTGATATGGTGACTGTAACAGTGGTGGTTCCTGGATGACATGTTGACTGTAGAAACGGCCTATGGTGATGTTGGTGATGTGACTGATGAAGACGAGTGGGGGGGGGGGGAGCAGCAGTGTAGCGGTTAGCGTGCCGCGTTACGAACCTGGCAACCCAAGTTCGATTTCCGCCCACGGTCACCAACACCAGTGACGATTATCTGAGCCAGTCCTGGGCTTTCCCGAGCTCGACTCAGCCTCAAACGAGTACCTGGTGCGGTGCGTAGTAAACATCGCCACTATGGAGACAAAGGCGGCCGGGCGTGGTTGCTGGCCACCCACCCCCTCGTGCGCCGTGCCGTCCTTGGTAGGTGCTACTCGCTAACAGCACTTGCCCCAACAGTCTGTGCTGATCTTTGATGAGACGGGAGAGGTAATATGTCGATTGAGGATTGTAGCTGAAGGAAGGAAAGACCCGGGAGGATTGTATATGCAATGTGGATGTCACATGGCAGGCATGAACGGTGGTCCGCAAACGTGTGTGAGGGTTGACGGTGGTCAGATGGGGCCCATAAATGTTGGTAGCCAAATCACTTGACCATGAGATCCAAAGTGGTTATCCATCTTCATCAGCTATGATCAGTCCACCGCTGCATGAAGGCCTGCCCCAAGCTATTCTTAGGTTTACAAATTTGTCTTCCTGAAAGAAGGCACATGCCCAAAATGTGAGAATATTTGTCATGGTGTGTAAAGTTACGTGTGTATGTATGTTAATGTACGTCTTCCTGCATGCATGTATGTATGGAATGT